TTTATGATAGCAACAATCACAGGCAGTGTACAAAACCAGTAAGAGCAAATCTATTCCATTAATGCTTTTTTAAATTACAGCACATACCCTGTGATAGACACTGCCTGGACTGTTGAAATTTTTTACAATTACGATGGTGTCAGTGAGTTGGAAGGACATATCTGCTGAAGAAGTGGCCAGAATAGGACATGTAATTAACAAACATTTAATAGATCAAATCTGCTATATATGCATTCAGGCTGTCTTATTGGAAATACCTGCAGCATCTGTTAGAAACTCTTTAGATTACATTATTTTCCCTCCAAACAGCAGATAACCCAAGAACCTGTAACACAATGAGCCACTTTTTCCCATAATCTATGTGTCAAAGTCAATGAGTAGGTAATATCACAGCTGAATGCTTCGAATACTAAATATAAAACTAGAGAAAACCAAACTACTGTCAGGTCCACACACAACTACTAGAGCAGAATGCTCATGAAGTTAGCTGTAGTCATGGTTTGAATCTGCTTTTAATTTTTAGCCTTTACTTCCATTATACAAATCCAGTGAAGTCAACAGTCATAATACTGTAAAAGTAGTAGAACCAAATAAAGAGTCTTTTAATATGCTCAGCAAAATCTGCAATTCCTGAAAAGCCTGATCTATGGTAAGGTTCAAATCTAGATGCTGTCTGAGTGGGGGGTTTTTTAGCCTGATTTCATTCTAAGTGAAACATGAATGGTTTTCTTCTATATTGCTTGCAGAAATTGAGATCCACATAGGAGAGCAAACACCCAGCAGGATTTGTATTAAGGGGTTTCCCAAACATAGTGATCCCAGCAGCACTGCTCAACCCATACCATAGTATGGACACAGTTGTCTTGGAGCCATCTCCTGTGTATACTTCAAAGGTGCAGAGCTGAATTGTGTATCCATTTAATACATCTCCCATAAAAGACAGCTCAGAGAAGCCACTGCTAACCTTAGTGCTTATTATACTGACACCAGTTTTTAAGCAAGACTTTAGGGCAGATCTTCAATACTCTGAACTAATAACCTGTACTGGTTAAACCAGAGGAAATGATAATAAACAACAGAATTAGTAGACATCAAGATAAGTACGGTACAATGAAGAAGAGTCAGCATAGCTTTTTTGAGGGGAAGTTGTGCTTCACTGATGTACCAAACTCCTCTGGCAGAGTCAATAAAAGATGCTGGCAACAGAGATCTCTTTGACACCATCTGCCTGGATTTCCAGAAGGCACTCAAGTTGCTTCCCCCGAGGCTCTTAAGAAAGCTAATCAGATGTGAAGAAATGTTCACAAGATAGGAAGAAGGGAGAGGAAGTAATAGTTGCTCTTCACAGTAGAAAGAGATCACACGTGGATTCCCACATGGCTCTGTGCTCAACACAGATTACAGATGATCAGAAAACAGTGCTGAAAAGGGATTCAAATGTTTGATGATGAGACTGAATTAGTCAGTGATGTAGACTACAGCTGATTGCAGACTCACATTAAGAACCTTATACCATGTAGTGAATAGGCAACAAAAATTCACTGTAGAGGAATGTAAAATGAAGGCAAACAATGCTAGAAATCACCACAAAAGTAATCAAGAACAGAAAATATCCTTTTGCTGTTGTATAAATACATGACACATTCACATCTTCAGTAGTGTTTGCAGTTACACATCCATCTGAAGACAGACACAGAAGGCTGTAAAAGATACACATAAGTGCAGGAAGTATGGTTAAATATATGGAGTGGTTACAGGCATAAGGACAAAAAAAATGATGGGAGAAAAGGACACCAATGGCTATTCAATACAAACCCCCTGCGTCCAGTTTAGGAAGCCCTAGAATAACTGATCACTAGATACTGAGAAAATATTTTGCGAAGGGTCTCTAAAGGGTACTAATCTTCTCAGGACACTCACTTGGTGGTTGCTATTGAAGCCAAGGTGCAGAGCCAGCTGAAACTCTGATCTTACCTGTTTTGCTCTTACTCAGGTTTGGACTGAGGTTATGCACTGTCAGTGTCGAGTCAGCGTGCACAATAAAAGTCTCCTCTGTTGGATGTGCAGAATGAGCTTGGAATTTCTGAGCAATGCCATCATACCGTGCATACAAGGCTGCACTTTTTGGGGAAACATCAAATCTGCTTTACACATGGAGCCAGCATCTCCAATATGTTGTAATTGCCCGGGGTTTACAAAACTATGTCAAGCCTCTACTCACAGCTGTGTATGCTCATTGTGATTGCAAAACTGTCAGATCTACCAGGAAAAAGGCTGCTGCATACCTTGAAATCTTAGACAAATACAGAATTCCTCTGGATTGTGCCAGATGATTTCTAAGTGAAAGAGAAGACTTATTCATGAGAAAACAGGATTGTAGTCCTATTTGATCTTTTATCTGGACCTAATGGGACTTCCCTGACTTTGAAAGATAGGTTTTACATAATTTGGTGGTTCTCGTTTTCATTGTCTGCAAATGAGCAGCCTCTTGTCTCTGCTTGGTGGTAGGATCTAAAGGTTTGTTAGTTACTTTTCTTTACCCTCATCATTTTTGTTGCACTCATAATGAGAGGTGGTTGATAATACCTCAAATGTCTGCTTTTTTTCCAAACTGATGATCTTCCTGGTCCGTATTACAGACGTGAATGAGGCTCTTGAATGCAGAGGTGGGGCTTTGCAGTGAAGTAAACCAAGATAGGGTCTTAATCATCTTAGTTTGCCTTAGTGTTTGCTTTGCTGTTTCAACATAGCTTTCAAAGTCCATTGACCTCTGAATAATACAGGCTGCAAGCATGCCTATAAAGCCTCCATACCTTTCAAATATTTCAAATTCCTGAGATATTTAATGTGTCCTGTTATCTGAAACAACTTTACCATAGATGTTGGCAAATGCTGGCCTGTCGTGACTCATTTCCTTGCTGACTAACGGATTACTTAGCTGAATTTCTTTAAAAAACCTAATGTAATAGTCAACTCTGAGCAGGTCCTGGTCACCTCTGTTCAAACAATTCCATTGCCAAATGCTCCCAGGCTCTGCTGGCTGCCTCACAAATGAGCACAGATTTATTTTGCGTTCATCCTCAATATTCTCTGTACAATGAAAAAAAATATTTTTCTGATTCTTGTATGTTCTTTGGTCAGTACAATACTTTTGGAAAGAGACAAAAGTTCTGAGGGATTTTCCCCAAATTATGCATTTTCCTCAGAAGAGCCGTTTCTTTTTCTTCTAAGACTAATCCTCTCCCTGCAGTCAATCCTCTGTTTTCATTTGAGATGTCCCTAAGAATTGATGAAGTTTTCCATGAGCCACCCAGAAGTGGTTTTGTTTCCTTAAAAGCACAACACTGCTCCTCTCTCTGTCTGACAGATGATTTGTAGATTATGGTAAGTGTATTGTGCTCCTGATTCTCCTTGGCCTTACATCTTTTACAGCTTCTCATGCTGTGAAATGAAGTAAGTGAGACCTGTTTGTCAAAATGTAAGGTCAGCCTCCAGGCTTATGTTAAATTACAAGGTCTATTCTTCCATCTTTTAAGTTTTCTCACTGAAAAGTTGGCAGTGGAGCTACCAAACCTCTCTCAAGGATATTTTATAGGAATTGTTTATGCCATTCACCTTTCCAGACCTTGTCCAGACTGTTACCCTTGCTGTCCCCTATTGCTGTGGCTCACTTGCAAGTTCTTGTAGACACATTATGATTTTCATGTGTCTCATAACAAAATACGGAGAGTTTTCTTACTGCTACTGATGTGACTTTCTACCAGGGGGAGGCTGGTGCTTTTGGCTGTTACGAAATGATCACAGATAAACCTCCCATCACCTACTGACAATGTCAAATCTTTTTCTGCTTGAGCATAGTTCTGCTGCCCCAGCACCAGTGTTCTCCATTTATTCCATTCCTGCCACAAGGCTGCTCCAAGGGCTGCTTATGAAGCAGCTTATAAACCTGGAGCATTTTCCCTTGTTTCACACATGTTCAGGAATGATCAGGCTTTCCAGCTCACCCTGCTGTTAGCAGTCAGCTCAGCAGAACCACTCAATCATCAAAAAGCTGGAGCCGCCACTGATTTTAACTGCTTGGCTTTTCTAAAAGGAAGTATTATACATGGGTATAGTTAGTTATTACAGATTCCTCCCATTTAATCTCCTAAAGGCTTAAGCAAATGCAATTCATCAATAATGAACAGCCTAGTTTACATTTTATGAAGTCATATTTTAAGCTGCACAATGTCCCGAACGACAACACTTGGTGATTGCAGACACCCCCAACAGCAACTGCAATACAGTTTTTGTGGGAGATTCTTAGGCAGCCCAAAGCCAGAGAGGGCACAATTTAGGAGCAGGGGTTGGTGGCCTTTTGCCCTATGCAGTATTTCTGCTACAGGAGATCTCCCTGCTTGGACTTTTTGTTCCACCACTCTGTGAGGAGGAATGGATGTAGCCAGCATGGACACTTGTTTGGGTCAACCACAGGAAGAGAGGTACACGGAATTACTGATGGAGTTCAGTCAGCACTGGCTCTGGCAGTTGTTTACTTAGAATATATAGGTAGCTGCTGAATTCTGGATCTCTTCTTTGTGGTGCGGCCACAAGAAATTAAGACCTAAGACTTAAGCTTAAGAGCATTAATACTGGGGGCTTCTGATGTGCAGTTTCATTCTGTCACTAGCAGTAACTTGAAAAGGTAAAAATAAAATCAATCTCATAAATACCATAATCCATTGTGGCAGAGAATACACAAGGAAGCTTTAGCATTCCAAAATACATTCAGCTTCTGCATGTAAACCTGTGAAGCATCTGTCTCAAAACCCTGTGGTTTCTAAAATAGCTTTCTGAAGCTCAGGTATTTATTTTTTTAGTATTATTACTTCATGATTTAGCTGGATGTAGATTCCAGCCTATGAATGCTAAATACTTGATCCTCTCACTCATCATGTGTCATTAGACACACTTGTCTAATGCAAAATTCTTCATTTTTGAAGTGGTCTCTTGTTTTTCACAGAACCTGCTTTACAGAAGTGTTTATGAGAATACATTTCAGCTATTCTTTTCTTGTCACTTGGAGGCCTGGTTGATTTTAATCCCACCTATCAATCTGAACAAGGTGTTCACTTTTCTGTATTATTTTGTGTAGTTTCTACCAATACACTCACATGGACTTTCTCCTCATGTGGCCTTTCTGGTTTCGAACAGCACCTGGAAGGCTTCATTTCTCAGCTTCTATCAATTGCAAAAGTAAATAAGGAGATTATTATTATCTGGTTGTCGTTCAGATGTCTGTAGTTACAGCATTAAAACATCTTTTCATTGTTTGTGCTGGGTGCACAAGTCAAGAGAACTTTAATAAAAAACTAATGCATTTGCAGAGCTCCAATGACTTTAACTGTAGGTAGATAGACTTGAAGGCCATTTGGAAGGAATTCAAAGAGCAGTTGAGTCTTTATGCAACTCCAGAGAGCCCTGATGTATGGAGGTGGCTTGGTGACTGTGTTGGATGCAAAGAAAAGTTTGCAGTCAAGGTTCTGCTGCAGAAAATGCTTGCTACTGATTATAGTGTTCCCTATGAGGTTGATGCTCTTCTGTAGAAGACTTCCTGCTTACTGCAGTAAGCACAGAATAAAGCTATCCCATCCCGTTGCTTCTTTGTTTTGAGAAGCAAAGCCTGTTTCAAGCAGAAGGGATTTTGTATGTCATGTTCTGGAACAACTCAATCTCCAAGTCTTTACTCTGGAAAACTTTAATAGAAAGTAACAGTTGAAAGCAAGGAGCCGAGCAGACAGTAGACAGTAGATGTCCAACCTTAGTTATTAAAAATTCATCTCCAAAGTAAGGAAAAGAAAAGCTGATCTGGCATTTTATTGAACTTTATTTCATTTGTGAAAAATGGAAATGAGCAGTGACAGAAATGTCAGGGCTGACATTTTATCTGCTCTTTCTCCCTTCCTTAGATATTTCTGCATATTCCACATAATTCCTTATCAGTTTATTAAACAAAAATAAATAAATGCATTTTATGTCTATTTTCCCAAATGTTTTGTCTCAAAACTTTCATGCATGCATTTTCATTTGCACACTAAAAGCCAATTTACAATGCAAAATTTCATACTAATTTTTATATGCAATTCAAATTGGCAGAACAATAGTGCATACATTAAGAAAGCCTGCATGTTGAAAATGTAATCTTATGTAGGCACTAGATTGCTGTTGCAGCTACAAAAGAATATCATAAAACAGTAAAACATGTCTCACAAGTCATAGCAAAAGACACATTAGCACTCTAAGCAGTAGTTTGTTTGCATTAAAATTAGCACTGAGAAGTTTTACTGGGAAATGGAGTGCTTGAGGTTTCCATTAAGAATGCTGAGTGCAAGCTGCAGAGTTATTTCCATTTTCTTGCTTCTGTTCTAGCACACATGGAAATACCCACTTACTTTGAATTTTCTGGAAAAATCCCACTGAATTTTAAGCAGAATACTTAGGTTTGTATGAAACAGTATGAAACTGATAACTAAGACTGTGTTGCCTGGATGCCTTTGGGGAAGCTATCATCATTAGTTTCCACTCAGGAATATGATGCTGGATCTTAACAGGGATGTTCAGAGCTGCAGAAAGGCTAGAGGAATACAGTATTTCCAAGACACCTTCCCCAGTCACTTCTTAAGTAATACCAGTGGACGGTTTCTACAGCAACGAAGGTTAGAATCTGGACAGCATTTAACAAGTTAGATGATACTGCTACAGAAGTATTATAAAGGTGTTATTGTCACAAGACCTAAAGAAAGTCAGAAATATTCACACTTTAGATGGATAAGATAGTGCAGCATCAGTTCTGCATCCTGCACCAAATGGCTCTCATCATTTTTCCATAACTATGAGGTAAAAATAATGACTTATGAAATTCTGCACAGTCTGAATTAGTTGATAGTCCCCATTAATGCCCCTTTAAATGACACAGGTCCGTTGTACAGTCTGTGTATGTGATAACCCTGTTTCAAAGCATGCAGGGGGACAGAAGTAGTGAGACCCACTGAAACACTTGTTATTTCTCAGAGTTAGTTCTGTTCTACTGAGTTGCTCTTGAGCTTTTACTATTCCAAGCTTTCTGTTGTCTGCACTTACTATGCTTGTACTAAGTTCCCTCTACACAGCCTGGAGTAGGAGCAGGATGACCACAGCCACTCTGCAGAGCTTAAGCTGGGAACTCACACCAAGACCACTGGGGTAAACACTTTTTTTCCCTTGTCAACTAAAAAACACATTCTGTAAAGAAATTAATATTTTCCATTTACACAGAATTACATGTTTCTGAAATACTGAAAACATTTTAAATTGATTAATCCTGTCATACACATTGAGGTCAAACTTGTTTTCATGGGCAGCAGTGTTACTAGGATTAACTCAGCAGAGCTCAGTTTTTCCATTATACTACATGATAATACAATTTGGCTTTTAGTCTTTACAAATATTATAAAGAGGTTAAAACACCAAACCAAATGTTGTCCTGATCAGCAAAGCCACTGCAGTGGTTACAGGATTCCATAGTTTTGAGCCATGACAGGATCTACTCATTTTGAGGTTCAGCTTGGGTAACAGATTACTCTGTGGGATAAAATCTATGCCTGAGACAAAATCACTGAATACAAATACAGGTATTTGCCAATACTCCAGGTCCTTGCTACATATGCACTACAAGTATAAAGATTCAGAGCACAGCAAGATGTTACTGAATTTACCCATGGCTACACCAGTGCATGCTGATACTTGCAGATATTACTCCAATAGAGGGAGGGTTTCTCTTACTGCAGAGGCATGCTTGTAGAGCGGCACAGAGAAAGGGGAGTGAGTCCGCAGATCACTAACTAGGTCCAACACAGCAAATCCTCATCCTTCCAGTATTATTGCATATCATTATATTAAAAATTTATGTATATTGTTGTGGATTAAAAAAAAAAAAAAGAAAGAAACAAACTGTCCTTAAATGAAGTGCAGATGGTTAATTCTTACTCATGGCCACAAGAGGAAACCCAAGAAATAACTGGCTTAATTTATTGCATGGGAGATTGAGCATAGACTGAGCATAAGGAAAATGCTTTCCAACATAAAGGATTGTTAAACACCAAAATAGGTTAGCTCAGAAGGCCATAGACTAGGAAGACCTTAGGAAACTGGAAGTTTTAAGAACAGTTAGGCATCATTTTATTGAGGATGGTCTAGAATGGCCAGCTCAGTGTAGGGAAATGGACCATGGATCTCTTGAGATCCTATTAGGCTTTTCAGCACTGCTATTCCATAGGGGCCAGACTGCCCTCAGGCCAGTGCAGTACAAACAGTCCTGAAAGTAAATGACCAACTGGAAACAACTGAACAACTGAATAAATTCAAGGGAAAGGAAATGTCCTTCCAGTTTTCTTACTAGTGTTCATCTCGAAGTTATGCATCATATTGGGTCAGCCAAGAAAGCAAATACCATATTCTGACGCAATCCAGTCCGGCCTGTGTTGCCCACATCACTGTTTCTTTTTCCCTATCTTGATTACAGATCAGAGTAGTAGAGGCTTAAAATTGCAGTTGTCAGAACAAGAGGTCACTTGAGTCATTGCAGTTTTCAGAAATGTGGCTTATGGCCTCAGAATTTTCTCTGGGAACATTTTATTGCAAATGAACCATGTTTTGCATCACTGCCTTTGCAAGACTTCAGAAACGTTGGCAAAGTGGGGTAGAATGGCTGAAGGGTTTTTTTCACTGCACAAACATCAGAACAATACATTCCTGGTTTGGCCACTTTTATGGCTAACTGCCTGCACTTCTGGTAAAGAAACAGTTTAAGTGAGTCAAACTGAAAGCTGATGCCCTATTGTAGTCATGTTGTCTTCATCACCCCTTTAGAGAAGGCAAATCCTTTTGAGTAGTCAGAGCCCAGCCTCTGAACCAAATTCTTCTCCTTGTAGCTCCTTTGATGTGTATAAACCTGATTTTTGCTTTCTTCAGTTTGTGCAAATTTGTGACTTGAATTTACATATGTATTTTTTTGTGGTTTAAATTAAATTTGTCTATAAAAATCCAAGCTCTGACCTGAATGCAGTCTTGGCCATCTAATACTGTAAAACTAGAAACTGAAAGCTGAAATGACATGTTTTTACAGTCATTATAATTAATATTAGAGAAAGCAAACCAAAACCCCCTCATCAGATAAACTTTACTAATGTTCCCCTTAAATCCTGATTTTATTCCAACCAGCAAAATTACCTGTCTAGCTAGTGTCTGGAAAGCTAATAGCTGATTTTGAAATATGCATCCATACTTTGCCTGTAAGTGTGACCTGTAAAGATGCAAATAGAATGCAAATGTTATAAACACTATGTCAAATCCTGGTCCAAACCAAAACCAAATTATGCTCCAGTTTTGCACTAGTAAATGCCCAGATTGTGCAGGTCAAAGGTACAACCAGTAGCCAACAGAACGAAAGACTGAGCAAAAGCTTTCCTGCACCAACTACACTGAAGCAGGTATAAAAAGTACTACATAAAATAATAGTGGAGAATAAGCTAAATTTATTCTCTAAATGGCAGACAAAAAAGTGCATGGTATTTGTGGTTCTCAGAGCATTTAGTGGAAATTGCCAACTGAACCGATGGACATCGTGTTTGTACATGTTACATTACCGAAATTGGGCATTACTATATTTAAATGAGGTTTTGTTGAAGTTTTTCACGTCCTACCAGTTTTAGACTAAGCCAAACAGTGGTTTATTGAAATTGAAACATTTTCCAGTCAGTCTGGCCTGAAGACAAGCCTTAAGTGACTTTAATTCTGGAACTGTTTCAATTTAAAAAAAGGAAAGTTTAAAGATGCTACACGAATCATGTTCATTTGGGTTTGCCGCACAGAGGTTTTTCCCAGATTTTATATTTATTAGTTACATTTACAAGATTTTAATATCTGCCTCTAATTCTCTTTGCACTTATCCTGTATTTTAGGTGGGTTGGGAGAGGTGGAAACCTAACCAAAGGTTGGATTATGGTGTTTAGAAAGCATGCTGTAAAATGTAACTCCCAATAGCTTCAGCTATATACTCATGGGGTAACAGCAGCTGAAATATGAATCTAGCATCTGGGACACTCTGAGACCAATAAGCCAGTTAATTTTCAACAACATTCTCTTCTCTGTTGGGCAAATAAAACCAGAAGATAAATACTGTGCTACTTACAGACCCTAACATATCTGATTCTTACTGTTCAAAGACAGCTCATTTTAAGCAAGAAATGACACGGCTTACATGTGCACAGTTATGCTAAAATTTGCAGCTTTATCTTTCTGCCCCAGCAGTAATTCCTGTGCTTTTCTGCTTCTGCAACTTTTATAGCCCCGTCCAGTCCAAAACCACAAACCCGTAAGAAAAGACCACAGGTTTCCCCTACCTTTATGAACACAATTCACCCTTGCAGACTATATAGCTCAGCAGCAGGCAATTGTTTTGCTAGCTGAGTTCATTATTCTTACACATTGTTTGCACGGCTTTGTATTACAGGATTGACAGTTAGAAAGCACCTGGAGGAGGAACAACTCTTTCCCTTTTCCTCCACTGGCTAAACAGTTTAGTCTCTTAGGTAATTCTCAATGACTTAGATTATTTCATTAACCTTAGCTGTGTTCTGTAACTTTTTAGCCCCCACTGGAGAAGATCAAGCTTTCCACCTCATTCTCATCCCCTTCTATCATGGCAATGACTCTTACTTCACCCTCTGAAGTAGCCACAAATTTTGTGCATCCTGGACATCTAAGTGAAGGAATGGCATTTTACCTGAAAGGACCAGTCTGCACTGACTAAACTGGTCATCCAGGAGCAACAGCATGTTTCAAAGCACTCAGCTTTCCCTGCTTGTGATGACTCTTACTAAAAAGATGGAGCAATCATTATTGCAGGGCTGCAGCCCTGAAAGCTAGCATACACACAGCTACTCTTACAGTAGTGCAGTCCAATGACACAAATGTACTCATGCTGATTATTTGAAAGTGAGTAGTAAATCCTGTGTGCGTGGTGAGCCCATTAGGTGTGCTGGAGAAGTGTTGGCTTTATGGACTGACACATGTGAATATGTGGCACTGAGAGGATCTCTACAAATCAGTGCTCTGTGCTCCCCCATGGTTTGGAGAACCTGGGGTCTTGGGGATGCCATCTTTAGATAAAAAGACATAGGATAAAAGGCTGAAATACATTACTCATCATCATTAGCTTCTTGGTCATGTGAGAACTACACAAAGTGCAACCAACTGGTTAGATTTGCATGTTGTGCATTTGCGCAGTGCTCTTCAACACGTTTCCCAGCGGCATGAGCAGAGCCCAATCAGCAAGCTGGAAGTGCAGCTCTGCACGATGCTGGCTGCCCTTCCCAGTGACCCTGATGAGTGCATCTTTGGGTTTCTTTGTGGAGTAGATTTCCTAAATCCACCTAGGTTTTAAGAAAGGTTACACTTTTGCAAACTTTCCATACATTACACGGCTTCAAACCTTTCTAGAAATGACAAAAAGCAGGTCAGCAGTCGTCTATATTACTTTCAACTGACTTCACTGGCTTCAGTTCAGGCAATTTGAGATGTACTGATATTTAAACTGACCTATGAAGCTGACCTTTACATTGAGAGCCAAAAATATTATTTCAGGTTTTGAGAAAAGCAGAACTGATACTGATGCAGAGTATGGAGCAGTAAATCAAGTGGAGAATAAAGAATAACACTGTGGTAATTAACAGAAAGAAACCGGGGGTTTTTTGAAGCCCAGGTTAGATACAATAGAAATAAAATGAGTTAAAATAGCACTGTATCCTTAAGGTACCTAAACAACTGTAACCTCACTTCAAAGGGAAGTCACACAACAGTCAGACAATTAGATCATTCTTTGGTGCATTTAGCTGCTAAATAATTAACTTTTTTCTTAAGCTGCATTTACATTTTTGATGTAAATGTGTTTTTTTTTCCCATCCTGAGAATACCACTCAAGGCTATTATTCATGGAGTTCTTAAAATAAAATTGCGTAGAAACATTCACTCTGCACAATATGGGACATACAACTCATTGCCTAACCTCCTTAGGCTCTCAGTCCAGAAAGTAGTTCAGAGTATCTAATTTGTGGACCTCAAACAGTTCAGAGCATGAAAACTAAGCAAGCTTCCTGTTCCCATAACCAGGAACCATGGCCTCACTGCCTGTGTGCCCA